TAGAAGAGAGAAGCAAAAATAAACAGTTTTAATTTGAAAGAAAAGAAGTTAACTGCTTTTTTTCCTCACCCGCCCTCCTCCTGATCCACTTTTCAATTTTATCTCTTCGCTTTACAGCTGGTAACATACGTTTAATTTTGCCTGGACTGCATGTAGCCCGAGTCTCATTTGCCTTCCCCTCCTGATAGAAATGCTTTTAAAATCGTTGTTTCTTCATTTTTTTTTTTCTTTACGATATGGGAAAAGTTATTCCTGACCCAAGACAAAAGTAATAAATTTTTTCCCAACTTTTCAACAGATTCAATTTTTGTTATTGAACCTCTGCAAAAAAAAAAACAGCACAGGGGGTGCTTTTGTCGTCGCTCTTGCCATCGGTTTCATCGCTGATACTACTACTACCATTCGTGCCATTATTTTTTTTCTTCTTTTCCATGACTTTTTCATTATTTTCAAAGTTACCATTAAGTGGAATTTCTTGATCAAAAATGATAATAAAAATAAATGAATTTTTTTCTACAAAAGAAAATAAACTTATAGCTTAGGTGATGTATAACAAAACTGAAAAAAAAAAGCAGATAAAAAAATTTGAAACAAGTAGTACCATGTACTATGAAAGAAAAAAATTTTGTTGTTGGTCTTTTTAAATTTTTTGATGGAAATATTTGTTGCCCAATGTATATCTCCGGAGATGATTTATGCATAGAATGTAGGGCGCGGTTAAACTATCAAAACGACAACAACAAAGCCCCTTGAACAGACAAAGAAATATCGGCAAAACAAACTGCAGAATCGGTTTCGATATGTTTTCAATTTTATGTGATCAAAGTTCATAGTTTTGCAAGCAGACTAAAACTTTTTTTTTCTTCACCGTTGTTACTGTTTTGCAAATGGTTTTCACTTGAAAAGCAGATGATAGTTTTTTTTTCAAATATCGTACTTGCTATACTTGCCTGCCTCCGTTGTTGTTGCTGTTGCTGCTGCCGATGGCGATGATGATGGCCTGTTGTTTTTGGAATTTGGCAAACTATTATTTGCGAACCGTTTTTCCTTCTATTTCTTCTTTCAGCTTTTTTCCATTCTTGATTTTTTCGTCTTTGAAGACAAACACAGGAATAACAATATATTTACTTAGTCTCATTCCACTAATTTATGATTCTTTCATGATGATACACCACTTTAGATCTTTGACTTCTTTGACTGGAAATATATGTGTTCAATTTTTTCTTACTGTTCATGTTGTTGCGAAATAGGCCTCCAAAGCGTTTACTTTTTATTCAGTTTTTTATAGATTAGTTTTTTACCGATCAATGTTACCAAAGAACTTTATTTTGTTATCCTGTTTTAAGTTGGAGCGTATGATCTTCAAAGAAAAAAAAAGAGCTATAAGTTAGTCTTAAATTACTCTCCTTTTAATCCTCTATATAGATTGTAAAAATACGATCATTTAAACACTAATAAAATAAAACTGATCAGTGGTAGATCGTTTTGAAATCTCATATAAACAGTTTTAACTGCCTATCACCAGCAATTATAAGCAGAGAGGGAATTAAAGAGGTCAGAAAAAAAAAAAAGACCACAAACTATAACCATTAGTTAGTTGGGTGTAGTTTGTATTTTGAGCAGTGTCTGCATTGGAACGATTCAATCTTCATAGAGTGGTATTTTTTATAGCACTTCACTTAGACTCAATTTATTATATAGTTAATGAAAAATCTGAATTTTCAAAAAAAGGATAATGGGAAATATTTTTTGGCCAGTTCAGCAATCAACTTTGCAAGTGGCTTCGTTTATCACAAGACTTTTTTACTACTCAAGAAAAAAAAATCAAAAATTGAACAAATTGTACGCATTATGCTGCAAATTCAACATTTACGCATTATTTTTATGTGAATCCCGATTTCAAA